ATTTTAACAAAAGAATATGAAAACAGCAAGGTCAAGAGTTAATAAAATTGGTAGGTGTAATGCCTTATCTTTAGTGAGACTGTCTTTACTCTGAGGATGTGCTGAATAGTGTATCACTGCTCTGAAACCTGTGAGAGCTAACACTTGATGGGTATTGCGTGTTTTCCTTCTTTCACGTGATGCAGTTTTACCATCTTTCTATACTTGTTTTAGTGAAAAAAACTAGGGTTTTCCTTTTCTGACAGGTTTCTGCCTTATACAAATTCTGACTTTTGCAGATTTTACTATAGTGCTTTGGTTCCATTGCTTTGACTTACGTTCAGATGCCAGTATTTTATCCACCATTGCTTTTGTATCAATGCAGATGTCAACATAAGTGCAAAAGGTAAATGACATAGTAGTAGTATTATGAAATAGTTTGGGGCCTTTAGAACCTCTCAAGAGGTTAAACCTGGATCAGACCTTAGAAGCATTGATTTGCACTTTTAAAAAAGGAAGTCATCTCATCTCATAATTCATTCTTAATATGAGCTACTTTCTTCAGTAGAAAGAATACCACTTGAAAATCTTTATCATTTTAATTTCATATAATAATAACTAAAATTTTATTGGATATTTTTTATATGTTACTTGTCACCATGAACTCTGTTGGCATCATCAGCTAAGTGTTGGAATGTTAACTGAAAGGTCAGTGGTTCAAACACACCAGCTACTTTACATGAGAAAGATAACTTGCAATCTCAGAAACTGTGTGGCGGCACTATGAGTCAGACTTGACTCATGGCAGTGGGCTTGGTTTTTTGGTGTCAGTTCTGTTATTACTTATAATTAAAGATTTTAAAGGCTAAGGCTGTTCCTACTCATAGCCACCCCGAAGGACAGCAGACCCAATCTTGTGAGTTCCCAATACTCACTTGTTAGTGGAGAAAAGGCCTCGTCTTTCTCCTGTGGAGTGACTGGTGGTTTCAAACTGCTGACCTGTGGTTAGCAGCCCACTATGTAACTAATACCACCAGAGGTTAATTAAAATTCTTGAAGTCACATAATGACTTTTTGCATTCTGACTTGAGTTGTTTCTTTTAAACGTTACATTTCTTGTGCGTGTTAGGCTTAGCTCTTTACTTAATAGTTTATTTTTTCTTGTCTAAACTTATGTCTGATTGCAACCAGACTAAGGCGAAAGTATTGCTTCAAAATCATAGAAACCTTTTATTAAACAAAATTAAAGCATTATTTCTATCTTTTTCTCATAGAACTTTCTGCTCTTTTGATTTATATGATTTATATCACTTCATAATAGCAGGTTTGGCATCCTTAAGGGACCCAAATCATATTGCTTTGAAATGTTCTTGGAGTTTGGAGGACGAAAAGAATTCAGACTTTCCGGAGCAAGATCAGGACTATAGGGTGGATGAGATAAAGTTTCTCAGATTCTCATAGGCCAGCTCTTAATACCTTCACGAAACGAACAGCTATATTGTTGTGAGGGTGGGGGGGATTTTTAAAAATAATTTTATTGGGGGCTCTTACAGCTGTTATCACAATCCATCCATCCTGTTGTCAAGCACATTTGTACATATGTTGCCGCCACCATTTTCTCTTTCCCCGCCCCCAAAGGAACGTTATTTTATTTTATTGTTATTATTTTAAATAATTTTATTGGGGGCTTGTACACTTCTTCTTTTTTTTTTTTTGAGTGAGACAGTGAGTGAGTGAGAGTGAGTCAGGGAGTGAGTGAGACAGTGAGTGAATGAGGGTGAGACAGTGAGACTGAGTGAGGGTGAGGCAGTGAGAGAGTGAGACAGTGAGAGAGTGAGAGTGAGTGAGACAGTGAGTGAGACAGTGAGTGAATGAGAGTGAGACAGTGAGTGAGTGAGGGTGAGGCAGTGAGAGAGTGAGACAGTGAAAGAGTGAGAGTGAGTCAGTGAGTGAGTGAGAGTGAGTCAGGGAGTGAGTGAGTGAGGGTGAGACAGTGAGACAGTTGAGTGAGTGAGGTTGAGGCAGTGAGAGAGTCGGCTTGTACACTTCTACCACAATCCATACATAATTGAATCAGGCATGTTTGTCCATGTGTTGCCTTCATTCTTTTCTAGACATTTACTTTCTATTGAGCCCTTGGTATCAGCTCTTCCAGTCCCCCAGCCCCCAGGCTCTCCTCCCTGCACTCTCATAACCCCGATAGATTGTACATTGTTGTTATTTTTATCTCTCGTGCCGATATTTTATTATTTTTTAATCGTTTTATTGGGGTCTCGTACAACTCTTATCACAATGCATACATTCATCTAGCCATTATCCCTTTCAAAACATTTTCTTTCTACTTGAGCCCTTGGTATCAGGTAATTTTCCCCCCTCCCCTACCCTCCCTCATCGTGAACTCTTGAGTAATTTATAAATTACTATTTTTTTCATGTCCTATACCTACTGATGTCTCCCTTTACCCACTTTTCTGTTGCTCGTCCGGGTTATATGTCAGTCATGATTGGTTCTCCCTTTTCCCCCTACCTTCCCCTTACCCTCCTGGTATTGCTACTCGTTATTGGTCCTGAGGGGTTTATCTGTCCTGGATTCTGTGTGTTTCAAGCTCGGATCTGTACCAGTACGTGTATCTATCTGTACGTGCTCTGGTCTAGCTGCATTTGTAAGGTAGAATTGGGGTCATGATAGGAGGGAGTAGAAGCGTTCAAGAACTAGAGGAAAGTTTTGTTTCATTGGTGCTATACTGCAGCCTGACTGGCTCGTCTCTTCCTATCAACCTTCTTTGAGGGGAAGTCCATTTGTCTACGGATGGGCTTTGGGTCTTCACTCTGCCCTACCCCCTCATTCACATTGACATAATTTTTTGTTCTGGGTCTTAGATGCCTGATACCTGATCCCATCGACACCTCATATTCACGCAGGCTGGTGTGCTTCTTCCATGTGGTCTTTGTTGCTTTTCAGCTAGATGGCTGCTTGTTTATATTCATGCCTTTAAGACTCCAGACGCTATAATTTTTGATAGCTGGGCACCATCAGCTTTCTTTATCACATTTGCATATGCACCCACTTTGTCTTCAGCAATCATATCAGGGAAGGTAAGCATCACAGAATGCTGGGTTATTAGAACAAAGTGTTCTTGCATTGAGGTTGTACTTGAGTAGAGGCCCAATGTCCATCTGCTTCCTTAATACTTAACATATAAATACATGTACATAGATTTATTTCCCTGTGGTTATATATAAATATATTTACATATGTATGTATCTGTATTTAGACCTCTATAAATGTCCTTTGCCTCCTAGTTCTTTCCTCTATTTCCTTTTACTTTCTTCCTGTCCTACTATCATGTTCAGCCTTCATTCGGGTTTTAGTAATTCCTCTCGGCTATATTGCACTTGATCAAGCCCCACTGGCATCCTATGCCCTCCTCGCCGTTGATTTTGGATCACTTGTTCTCTTGTCCCTGAGTTTGTGGGCACCCCACTTCCTTTCCTGAGTAAGAGGAGGACTTTTGGTACAACTTTCCTGCCCCCCACCCTCCTTAGGGCAATGTTGAATTTTCTGAAGATGCCTTTCTATTAAGCCCCACAATCCTGTGTCCTTTTAAGGCCCTGGTCCTGTGCCCTTTAAGAAAATATATCAAGATAATACCCCTTGGGAATGCAGTAGGAGCTGATTCCTCCCTGTCTTCAATCCACTTGCCTAGCAGATCCTTTCAGAAGGTGCTGGTTTAATTGTACCCTTTTTTTGGTTTTTTGGAAGACACTAATGAGACCAAAGTATTATTGATAGAACTTGTCTGCATTCTTCACTGATCACTCAGAAGTGTTTACACATGCTTTGTTTAGAAAAAGTATGATTTGGAGCTGTAGTAGTAATATTTTTTGACTATCTTTATATGCATATTTATTAGGTTTTTTTTTTAAGTAAGAATTAAACAAAGTACACTAGTAATAATATACATTTTGTTTATGATGTTTATTGTATAAAACTTTTTTGAAACATATATCATTTTCATTAATCTTTTAAAGAATCATGTGGAATACAGAATGGCAAAATGTTGCTTCCATGCACTAAGTGATGAGTCTGAGACTGAGAGTTTATGACTATTAAAGGTTGTAAAGTGACTTAGTGGTAAAGGCTGACTTGAATTCCTATGCCTCACAGTAAAAATGAAAATTCTTTTAAAATGATACACTTGCATGCTTCACCTAAAATTTAAGTTTCAAGTTTTATTTTTAAGTTGTTGAATAGTTTTTGTAAGAGATCTTTTTTGTTACTACAGTAATAGAGTGAGTTTAGCTGAAATAAGAATCTTGTCTTTACGAATGCTTTTCTCTAATTACAGTGTTTCATAGAAGTGAAATTTTATTAATCTCATCAAAATGTAAAAATTTAATCATGTGTAGCTGTAAAAAATGGAAAAGTATTTTTTATTTTTTATTTCTCAACTACTTGGACATTTTGTTTTTCTCTTTAGTGAAAGAGCTTAAATAAAGCGCTATTTCCTTTGTGTTGTGGTTGATTATGCTGAATAAAGTCAGTAAAAAAATGTTTCTCAGATGTATGCCATCTTTTGACCGTCACCTTTAAATATACTTAATTTTTCTGAAATTTATATTTTCAGTTTCGCTTATATTTTTATGTCAATAGATATAGACCTTTGATAAAAACAGAAATGATTGTTAATCGATTGTTGTAAAATACTTTTCTATCAATTTTGATATAAAACTTGTATATAAAGTAATAATTATATATTTTAATTTTATTTAATTATAATTTTTCTCTTCTGTTGTGGGCACAATTGATATATAGTCATCGAGATAAACATACACTTAAATATTTTCTATATTTTACTTATTGCATATAATAAAGGCAGTGAAAAAGAAAAATACTTATGGAGTAGATAAAAAGTGTTACCTTTCACAATTTGATGTTTATATGCAAAGAATTGCCTTATACTGACTCTTGAATCATTCCCTCTACCCACCCCATCCCATGTTTTTGGCTTTTTTTTTTAGGCATCTCACTTCTTTTGGGGATTGTGGGCTTTGATTCAAGCCAAATACTCTACTATTGAATTTGATTTTCTTGGGTAAGTTCTAATTTTATAGTATGCATTACATTTGCCTTTATTAATTTGGATTAGCATTGATAATTTATATGAAACATTGCACTTGATTTTGCCAGTTAAATATATAAAGTGTGCAAATATTTGGGCTGTAACTCAAAAATCAAACTCACTGGCATCGACTCCTATTGACCACTACACCACCCAGGCTCCTAGTTGGGCTATCAAGAAATCTAAATGTTCTCTGTATTAGAAAAAGTATCCAGTAGGTGGAGCAATAAACTAAACATAAGTCCTTTAAAATCTTACAACTTAAAAACAATAGTTTAGTTGGAAGAGTGGAGAATAAAGGAGAGATTCAATTTTCAGTTCTGACTAATTTTTTTGTTCATTTTTCTCACTAGATATGCAATTGTTCGTTTCAACCAGTACTTCAAAATGAAGCCCGAGGTTACTGCATTAAAAGTGCCCGAGTAAAAAGGAGATTTAATTATTCTCAAACATTTGAGCAATCCTAATGGATCTTTTCTTAAAGAAACTCTGTAAAGCCAATATTTGTTACAATTCTGTTACTTAATTTGGTTATCTTGCTTTATAAATTATGCCTTTCAACAACCAATCTACTTTTTAAATAGACTGAATGATGTCAAGAAACATACCCACCGCTGTCAGTATGTAGTAGACCAGAAATTTGTTAAATCTACAAAAAGCTATAAAGATGTCAATTTCATCCTTTCTTGTAAAACTAATATATGTTACATGTGAATTTGTTTATTATAAACTCAACATTCTGTGGCCATTTTCATCTATTGAGTATAAGCAGTGTAAATGCTGTAGAGTACCAATAATAATTTTTTCTTTTAAGTTTTACTTTAATATGATCAACTTTAGTAAACAGTTTAGATATTCAGTGTCAACATCAAAATTGTTGCACTGTGAGTAAAATGAATCATTTACACTTGAAATGGCATTTACTGGTGTAGATAACTTTTGGCTGTTCATATAAAGATACCAGTTTAGGAGGGTCAGATAAGTTCATCTATGTTGATGCTTCATCTTTTTGCATTAAGTATTGGAAACTATTTCTTTTTGGTTGTCTTATAAGTAAATTCTCTCCCTGCATAGTTTGGCATCAGAAATATTAATGTGTATCAATCATATAATCCTAGAATAGCTATAACGATTCAATGTTACTACAATTTGTTTCAAGTAATATTTTCATATGCTAAATATGATCATCTAAAGTATTAGTTTTTGTTTTTTAAATTTTATCACACCAAATTGTTTCTAACCAACATTCTGCTTTTCTTGAGATCTTTTATATTTTATTTTAAACAAATAGCTAGTACAACAGTTGTAATTTCTGAAGAAGAAAAAATTCAATTCTTGTTTCCTTTCCAATTTCATTCCTTGTATTTGTTTCAGTTTGATCCCATGTCTTTAGATGAATAGTAAATGATTGCTTGGTACCTGTGATATGTTGAAGTTGTTAAAGGAGCAATCAAAGAACATTTAGGACACTGATCTTATACACTTATAAAGTCTGACATACTAAAATGTGAACTAAGCAGAAATCCTCCTGCTAGGAGGATTTTTGTTTTGTTTTGTCTTGTTTTAATTTAAGTGTATTTTAAATTTTGTTTGGAGTTAGGCAATTACATGGAAGGAACTTGGATATTTGGGATGGATACATAGGCTTCAAGTTTTGAAGCTTATTGTGTGGGATTGAGCAGTCATGGTAATTTTACTTTAAAAGTTAATCGGACAAACTTTGCCCTTTGGTCACATAAGTGCCCATGTACAAAGTTGGCTGAATGGATCTGCATATTCAAAATATGCAACTACAAATTTATCCTCTGAGAAATCTTATGGGGAGTGTGATGGATTATTTCAAATGAATTATCATATCCTCAAACAAATGCTTTAAGACACTTAGATTATTTCAAGATGTTTAAAGCTAATAAGTAGAAACACTTAAAGGCTGTTTTAAAATGGTAAATTCTAGTTAGGAAATACAAACGTTAAGTCTGTTTGTATCTATAACAGTGTTTGACCATGGTTTGTTTTCTACCTCCCCAATGTTATAAATGTTCACTTTTGTTTTTTAAACTATTTCTATAGGATCAGTAGAATTTTGTCCAGTTGACTAAGCAGATAGAACCAATTTAACAATTAATAGCTTTTTTAATGTGAAGGTGAATGTTAAATACTGATTTTGATGTAATTTTCATTTATGGTTGGAATATGTTCGTAGAAGATATAACATACTCTTGAATTTTTTTATTTCTTGAAATGTAACAGTATATATAAGTAATGGAGTATTATGGGAACAAAGAAGATAGTTTATCTTCCTCCATAATCTTACTTCAAACTATTTTGAATCGAGATTCACTGAGCCAATGCTAGTAGACTGTGCAGAGTTTCTAGCTGTGACACTGTGTGAAAGCAACTTCAGAGTGATTTGTATCGAGGTGACTGTAATGGGGAATATGGGCCTACTTCAGCCCCAGGAGTCTACAGTGGGGCTGACGTGATATGAAGATATGAAGTGAGCTTTTTAGTATTTTGCCTCCACACTTTGGCAAGGTTTTAAGTGTTTTGATACTTCTGAATCGGCTTTGGGGATGATGGTGCAGGCTAGTAATAGGGGCTCAAAATTGCTTCCCTTTCTATTGCCCATTTGAGAGATTTTAAAGGAAGGTAAATCTCAACAATCTCAAAACGGTCTCCTAAAATTTGTTTTGTGGCTTGCTGAGATGTCTGTTGCCTTTTTACATTAAGCTGAGGAACTTAAATGCCTTACCTAATAACTCAATTGGTAGTAAGCCCATTTTGTAAATATTAATAGAGAAGTGGCATCCATGTATATTCAATGTTAGCCAGTAGACCATAGTGGCCTGGATGCTATAACAAGCAGAATTTAATGCCCCATCCCTCTTTTTCTTTACATACTTGTATGATCTTACTTGACCAGTGATATCTAATTGCTCCCCCCACCCTCCTGCCCTAATTCTAATCCTATGCTACTTCCACATTCTGAAAATCAAGATGTGGTCATAAGTCATACTGGTCACATGGTCATCTGAGATCAATATGAGCACAAAACTCAACTGTGTCTGCCTAGAGTGTATATAAAACAGTGTAAATAAAAACTTGTAAATTAGTGTGCATTGTATCTTGCATATGAGGTTGTGTTTTTGTTTTGTTTTGCTTTTGCAAGGAAATGCTCTTTGGTTTTGGACTGGAAATAGCCAACAGTTTTGGCTGCCCAGTGGAATAATAAAGAAACTGGGAAATAGGGTTTATCAATTTTTGTGTAGATGTCAGCACTTATCTGTTAACCTCTCAGTGCCTAATAATAACAACTTTTTCCAGTTCTTCAGTTGGCCATTAGTATTTGTGAGCTTAGGTCCCTTCAAAAATAGCGAATTAATATACTGTTACATTAATAGAGCTCCATTCTTAAGAGTTATGATTCTAAGGTAAAACAAATTTAAAATGTAATTTAATGATTGACAATTGAAGTATTATCTTTTCCTATTTCTAGTTTTGTTAAAAGTTATTTTAAATAAATAAAAAACAAATGTCAAACCTTAAATTTTATATTTAAACCTGGCTCTAAATTCCATGCACACACAAGGTAGGATAAGTTATAGTTTAACTTATAAATAATAGTTCACCTTAAGTGTATTTTAGTTGTCTTCTCTAAATGGAGTTGTTCATTATGAAAATTAGAAAGACAAAAGATACAAGTAATCTCTTAATGGGCAACCATTTTCATTTTAGTTGAATTAAAAACCATTTGTTTTTAGCTTAATTTTATGTTCGTAAGTATAAATTAACAAACATTTCAGATTTCATGAATTTTTCCCCCTTAAATACTCTTAATTAGAAGTTAGAAACTCTACTTCTTAAATTATGAACATTTCTTTTTAGATCATATATAAACCTGTAACATTCTATGAATTCCTTAGTTTTGTAATATAAATTAGAATATTATCTAATAGCTTGATTTTCTGCTTTAAATTTCTTTTAATAGCATTTTGTACTGTATCCCAAAGTGTTAGAGATTTAAGCTTTTAATATTGGTCATTCGGTTAATAGAAAAACCTAAAAATGCTTTATGCAATGAGGAGGCTTTTCAATGGCAACAACTTGTACTAATTTACAGAAAAAAAGGCAAATGCACAGAGGAAAAAGAATTAAGTCTGCTGTAAAGCAGCTTTCCGGTATTTAAAACTTGATTCGCTTTGACTGCCTCTTCTTCTCATCATGAGATCATAGAATGTCCTTTGACTGGAAACTTAGTCATAGAGTAACTAATTTACACATTTGCTTTTTAAATTTATTAAGAAGACATTTGTTATATTGCACCTCCCCTATCATCCCCATCACATACCATTAATGTGATTACAGTGTTATGTCTTGGATTTAATGTCTTTGGACAGAAAAGTGTATCAGCTATTTTAAAGGAATTTCCCCCCATCTTTGAAGCTGCCTTTATAAATGTTTAACTATCAAACAAAATACTGTGGTTTGTGTTACAAGTGGAATATTGGTACATCTTTTTTCTGAAGTTAATGGTATGTTGAAAAATGAAATCTGGCAACGTTTTTGTTCTAATGCCATGCACTTGAAAACTGAAATTAATAAGAACCGTACAGCCTCGCTTAGATTTTTCTGAACAGATTTTTCGCCACATATTACTTTGGATCATAATTTTAGATGGATAGATTAAACATTTTCCGGAGATTTGGACTATTTCAATAAATAAAATGACAATGCTATTAGAAATCACACTTTTATGTTTGAGAGATCCACAATTCAAGTTGTTAGTCGGTTTTTGTCTTGAAATCTGTTTCTTCTTCTTTCCTGTACTTTTTGTAGTGTACCTACTGAACTACTATAAACTTTCAGAGTTAAGATAACATTTTACCTGAGTTCAATCTGAATGTATAGCTTTTTCCAGGTAAGAAAAAAAAACAACCAAACCCTAAAATAAATTTACACTTCCTTATGTTTACATCTTCTCCATTAATGTGTATTATGAAAATCATCAATTATTTGCTAAATTACTGATAAAACGTTTGTCAAAACTGACAGCATTATATATTGTATTTGAACTAGTTAATGTTGAAGAAAAATAAGGCAAAGCCAACTGATTTGAATTGTAGATGTCCTGTTAACTAGAGATATAAAATTTTTTCATAAATGGATTTCTGCCGATTCTGTGGTATCCATTGTAAATTAACTTTTGTGAACTAAAAAAAGACCTCCATGAAGCTGTGGAGAAGATGACAGTGTATAGTTGCCGTAATTGTGGTTGTGTGCTGCTACTACTTAAATGTAGGTAGGGACACACTGAAATTCTTACTATCCAGTAATCTGAAGTGGTTTCATGTACTTATCTGTGTACTAAAAACTCAAGTTGATGGACACTGCAAAGAGGAAATTTTTGGCTGCTCTGTAATTTAGGAACCTTTGTACAACTAGGTCAGTTTACATGATATATGAAGTAATTGACTTTCAAAATATACTGTTATTTTCAAGAAAAAGATGTGGCATTACTCCATATACTTAAATTATAATTTTTTACTCAGTTTCAGTAGAAAAAGCCCACACCAACCCATTGCATTAACAGTATGTTGTATTGGGCAATTGTTGCATAAAGCTTAAATTTGTGTTATCAAATGTGAACCATAGTAGTATAATGCTGCTTTGTAAATACTGTAAGTGCTACAAATAGTCTCAGCACTGAAAATGTATTGATACCTCTCAAATGAATGCAACTTTTGATGTAGGTGTTTTGATGTGCTCAGAAAGTATCTGGGTGTCTGAGAACTTGTTAATCTGTTTGGTAATGAAGATACTTCCTGTTTTTTGTTGCCCATTTTCATGTTTCTAATTTTTACTACTGTTAATTTAATTAAAATTTGTGGACAAAATGGGGTTGTTTGTGAAGAAGACTTAAAAACCTCATTCACCTAACTGCTTCATTGAAAATACATGTTTGCTCTATGTTTGTAAACTCTTTTGGGGAACATTTCCTTGTGTTTTAGGTGAATGCTCACAAACTTTTAATGACACTGTTTATATTTCTGTTTATATAAGTGAAGCGTAGGCTTTATTTCTGTTTAATAAGGCCTTTTATCATCGATTAAATTGAAGGGAATGTATCATTTTGAAGAAGTTTATATTCTGTAAATAAAAATTGGCTGTAACAATAAAGTTGGGTTCTAACTCTAGTGTATCTACAATTTTTTGTCACTTCAACTTATTTCTGAAATTTTCTTTTTGTAGAATATGGGGGGAAAGCTTTTAAAATAGTTTTGAAAAAATACTTGTGGAAATGTGTTTGAAATGAGAATAAAGAGTAATATTTAACTTAGGAACAAATTCTATTTACCTAATTTTAAGAATTATTATTCTCATTACTAAATTTGTGCCTTCTCTGTACTTGGAGCTGCAGATAGGAAAGGAATGAAGACATTATCTGGGACTTAGTGTCTGTTTAACCACCAAAAAATGAAATTCACCACCGTTTAAGTCCAACAGCAACCCCGTAAGACAGCACTATCCCATTGAGTTTGCAAGGCTGTACAGCTTACGGGAACCGAAAGAGCCACATCTTTCTCACACACAGCAGCTGGTGGGTTTGAAATGCCGACCTTATGGTTAGCGACCCAATGTTTGAACCACTTTGACATGAATGTGCCTAATCTAACAAGGAGGGTATTTAATAAAGCAAAGTTTATTAAGCTCAATGTCAGATATTGTGTAGATAGTGAAGATACAAAGATAAATACTACAAAATAATGGAAAATAAAAAATCTCTTCCTTTAGATGTTGTCTAGCATGAAGATCAGTTCATAACCAAAATTGTGTGTGTAATTTATAGAATGTTTTAAAATTTGGGTTTGTCTGAGGTTTTCCAGTGTTTAGATTGAAGTTATATAATCCTAACCAAAAAATTCCAAAAGTATGCTGCCCATCTTAGGATCTGAAGAACCCCATTGGAGGTAATGACTTTCTAAAAAACAATTTTATTGGGACATAATCCACATAGATACAACTCAATAGTTCGATCATATTGGGAAGATTTGTACAATTATCACCACAATCAATTTTAGAACATTTTTCTTCTTGTAGTCCTTGTTTTCGTTCCCCATTTTCCTCCAACTTTCTATTTCATACCCCCAAGAAACCATTAACCCAGTTCTCCATATCTAATACTGTGTCTCCAGATTCACCTATCCTGAATTTCATATACTAAAAAAACTGAAAAGAATAACAAAATGAAATAGAGAAAACCCTCGATCAAAAAGAAAGAATATAGTAAAATAGGACTATTTTAAAATGGGTTAAAAGGTCCTCAGGACAAGTAGAATTAACCAACACTTTAACCCGTAGCAAACTGACACAAGAGACTCAGATTAACTGAAAAGATGCAATGCACTGCCAATAGCTTTGTACGTCTCAGAATTGCCACCGCAGCACCCTACGTGTTAAGCCCCTATGAAGTTTTATCTGGGTGACCTTTCCTTGGAACAGAGCCAGCTGTAGATGCGTAAGTGTCAACACAGCGATATGCCTTAAGAGTAAGTAGCCCAATGCCCAGAGGCCTTCCATCGATATGGGCTTGTCCAGGCACCAGAGAAGCAAACCTTCCCGGAAAGGTTCTTATAAAACTGAGAGGAGGACAGGTCTCCCAGTTCCAGCCAGTCTGGAAAGGAAAGGCCCAGTCCCAGTAATTCTCCTGCCAACAGTCACAAAGTTCCAGGAAAGCGCGGGTATCCGCCATTCACGGGTGTGGGGTGGGGTTGGGGGTGTCTGTGGAAGCCGTTGGAACCAGCTCCTTCCAACTCAGAGCAAATGGAGCAAGATAACTACACAGACGTCGTCTGATGACTCGACATTGAGCCAAGTTCGCCATCCCCAGAATCACCACTGCCTGGACCACCTCAACCCCAAACACCATGGGCCCCTAAGTAGATGACAGCCCTCCAAGACCAAGAGAGCGGGAAGGGTGTGGACCCGAAGCCCCATTTCGTGTCCAGAAAGTAGCCAGAGACTGCACCGAGTGTCCCCCAAGATTTGGGCCCATACGCCTTAAAGGGGAAATGACAGGTTGCTAGATTAGGGACAAAGGGGGGTTGTCTCCACCAAATGCCAACCCTGAATGAGGACTGGCTATCCATGCCACAGTGAGGGGGTTGGAAAGGAGTCGGGCACACTAATGAGACGCCTATGGGAAAATCCAGAACGGAGCATGCGCAAACCGCAGTCACCTAGGCCCAGATGGGAGGTACACTTGGGTCTCACACAATACTAGGCACCAGTGACATGAGGTCACGCAGGTGCGCCTGAACTTGGCCACTAAACCTGAGCCTGCACAGACTAAGGTCACCTAGGCACAGGTGAAGCTAAACCTGGGACCCCACACAGCGCTAGGCACATGACATCACACAGGTGCGTTTAAACTCAGCCCATAATGTTGGCCAATCCCCTCAACAACGCCTCGGGGCCAGTGGGGATTAAAGCTGGCGAGGGGCAGGCCGGCAGCTCTGCACGCTCTTCTCCCGTTGAGGTGGGCGCTGCGAGGAGAAGGTGAGTTTCCTCCCTTGTGTGGGCACGTGAGTGCCCGCTCCCGATCCGCTCACTCGGGATATTCTGCTCCTGGCTCCACATGTTGATTCCGTGCTCCTGTTCCGGTATTCCTCCCACGTGCTTTCCAGCTCCCCGACTTGCCTATATTTTCAGCCGCGAACTTTCCCACGTTCCACCATGTGGCCCTGAATGTTTTTCAGAAATAGTGTGTCCTTTTGAGACTGTAATACCGGAAACTTCCCTTTCTCATAAAAGTTACTTGGATTAAAAAAAAAAAAAAGCTTAAAAGGGAAATCCAATGTTAACGTATCTGCCATATCCCACTTTCCATTCGAGTGCATTCTGTGTGATACCCAGGCTGTTCACCCCCTGGTCTATGTTCAAGGGGATTCACTGCAGGCTTATATGTGTGGACTCTGCAAATGGACTTTAGGCTTCCATTGTCATCCATAACTCTGCAATCTGCAACTTTCCCTCTTTCAGATTTAGGTTTAATTATTTACAATCCTTGGATCACACAGGCTCCAGTGCTGCTTCCATGTAGACTTAGTTGACACCTCAGATGGCTGGTTGTTTGAAGGCAAGCATTTGACCCCAGTCTATTCTTTCTGATAGCTGGGTACCATCTACTTTCTTTACCACTCTTCACTACAGTACTCATATCTTCAGTGATCTCTTCATGAGGGCAAGTATCGAGTTAGGACCATGTCATAAGAATTAATTACTCTTAGATTGGGGCTAGAATTAAATGTGAGACCAAATTTTATCTATAGTTCATATATGCCTCTGGAGAGACATCATTGTTATTTTATGTTAGAAAGCATTGTCAATCATTACTCTGGGGCATAAGGTAATTCTGTTGATAGTGTCATTAATTTGCCAATAGTATAGAATTTAGAACAGTTGAGAAAAGAATATAGAAGTATAAGCTGGCTATGAACCACATATACATGAATTACTTGGGTTGTACAGATCAAACTCAAGTGACTAAACACTACACCAGCAATGGGGGTTGGTGATAAGAGACAGTGATTTTGATCACCTTGTGAAAGTATTCTGTCTACACTGTAGGAATAAGACTTTTCTACTAGTAAATTATAAGCAATCTGTTGGGGGCACTTTAAGATCATCTTCGTATTTTGCTCTTTCAAATATCCTTTGACATCTTTTTTAGTAATGCATACATATTTCTTGAAAATATGTTGATTGCAAAATGATATTTTCACTATAAACACCACATAGCTTAACAATTGTCAGACACAGACAATTGGAAATTAAGGAAATTACCCTCACATATCTATCCATCCAACTGCCATCTATTGTTTAAAAAACAGATTTTTTTTATCCAGTGGTTCATAATCTACTCATTTATATTCATGTCACAATTGTCTGAAATTTTGTCCTGTCAAAGTTGGTTCAAGCATCATTTTGATATGCTGCCAATGTTTTTTCTTTTTTTTACATTTCCTTACTTTCTAGCAAACAAGACATTGTAGTCTTGTACTTTCTGACTGTCTTAAGCTGGTGTCAATCATTTCTCCAAGAGGTTTGATTCCTTTTAGATAGAAGTGGTATTTAGAAACCAAGATCTAGACACTCCGATGCTCATTACTCCTGTGATACCACTAGCTCTAGGCCCTCTTGTTTATACATTAGTAGGAAATGTGAATTCATAGCAAATCATCTAATTTCTAATTCAAATTATCAGCGTTGTTCCTTGTCACCTTCATTTCATATTTGTCTCTCCCATTTTCCGAAGTTAGAATCGTGGCTTTGGCATTTATTTGTTCACTCCAGAAGTGCACATAGAATTGTTTGAAAATTGCAATGCCTGCTACACTGAAACCATGTAGAGTTCACGATTCCTTTGCAGTTTTGAGTTCAAATTGCTTGCATTAAAAAAAAAAGTGGTTATGTTACTTATTTGAAATATGCATGGGTTTGAGTTCCTGGGATGTGCAAAGGCTGACCTCTTCTGCTGCACTAATTGAAAGGTTAGCAGTTCAGGCCCGCCCAGTGGTGCCTCATAAGAAAGACCTGGCAAACTAGAAATATCAGCCATTGGAAAAGTTCTCTGATACTCATGAGTCACCAAACAACTAAAATACAGGGTGGGAGAGGAAATAACTGAAAGCAAAAAAAAAAAAAAAAAAGCACTAAAGAAAAAAACAACAAAAAACAGACGCAAGTTTTAACCACCCACGAGCTGCAGCATGAACAAGAAGCTTACTCTACAAGAGGGCACAACACCATCCAGAGGGGTTGGGGGTGGGTGTTCCTGAAAGCGAAGTGAGGAAGTGGACACCCATTCTAGGGGATCAAAAAGGTGGGGTGGGGAAGGCGAACATGGGGGAGAAGGAGAGAAGAACTAAGAAAAATTATTCAAAAACAGCAGTACATACTGACGAAGTTGTAGCTGCCAAACAAGGCTAGAGAGGAATGCAGCCCTGGCTCGGCAGGAAGAGCCATCTACTGGGGAGGGGCGGGAGGGGCGCTGCTAACTGCACGCACTGGGGGGAGGAAGGAAAGAGGAAAGGCCAAACCATTACCTTGCAATCGTGCAAGGTAAGAGGGAGGGGAAGGCACAGTCTCGTCCCCCACCACGGGTGGGTGCTGGTGTAGTCCTAGGCAAGTGGAG